ATAATATATAATAAATAATATATAATATATAATATATAATAAACAATAAATAATAACAAATAATAAATGATAAATAGTAAATAATAAACAATAAATAATAAATAATAAATGATAAAAAAATGAAAAATTTTAATTGGGACATGAGCAGAGTCATGAGGGGAGGAAGAGGAAGTGAAACCAGGACCCCAAAACCCCAAACCCTAAACCCTAAACCCTAAACCCTAAACCCTAAACCCCAAACCCTAAACCCTAAACCCTAAACCCTGGGGACTCACAAGGTGGGCCTGTTCAAGGGAGAGTTGGTGTTCAGCTGCTAGGGCTCTTTCCCAATAAGGTGCTGCTTGCTGCAGCTGCTGCTTAAATGCTGCAGCAGCAAACTGTGGGGCCCTTCGGGACAGCAGCAAAGAACATTCTGCTGCGCAGCCCTCCACCAGGCAGTTGAAGTACCTGCAGCAGCAGCAGCAGCAGCAGCAGCAACAGCAGCAGCAGCAGCAGCACAAGCAGCACCACTTGTATTTATATTTATATCTATATTTATATTTATATTTATATTTATATTTATATTTATATTTATATTTATATTTATATTTATATTTATATTTGTACTTGTATTTATATTTATATTTATATTTATATTTATATTTATATTTATATTTATGCTTATATTTATATTTAGGCAAGCCAGCAATTATGACAGAACATGAAGGGCGAGTTTGGAGTTTAGGGTTTAGGGTTTCGGGTTCAGTTTTTAGAGTTTAGGGTTTAGGACTAAGGGCTTAGGGCTTAGGGTTTAGGGTTTAGGGTTTAGGGTTTAGGGTTTAGGGTTTGAGGCGCGAACGACCAATGACCAGACAATTAAAAACCGAGAAATAAAAAGCAGCAAATAAGTAAAAATAGTAAATAAATTAATTAAACACAAAGAAATAATAATAATTAATTAATTAATTAATTAAAAATATATTAATTAACTAAAATTAATTAATTAATCAATTAATTGAAGATAAAAAAAATTTAAATGAATTGCTGCAGCACCTCAGCAGCCATTTGCCGGCGAATTCATGAGCAGCAGATTTCGATTCGGTCTTCTTCAAGTTGCTGTCGATGTCTGCAGCAAAACAACTGAATACATTTGCAGCATTTGCTGCTGCTGCTGCTGCTGCTGCTGCTGCTGCTGCTGCTGTTGCTGCTGTGACTGCTGCAGCTGCTGCTGGAGTTGGTGTCTCAGTGAGTGTCCTGCTGCTACGCTGCTACTGTTCAGTCTGGCTCTGCTGCTGCTGCTGCTGCAGCTGCTGCTGCTGCTGCTGCTGCAGCAGCAGCAGCTGCTGCTGCTGCTGCTGGGGCTTGTCTTACCTCTGAGGTGGCTGACGAGCTGCCGCGTGAGGCCTACGATGAGTTTAATATCTGCTTCGTGCAGCTGCTGCAGCAGCTGCAGCAAAGTTGGCATTGCAATTGTGTCAGCAGCAGCAGCAGCACCTTCGCTTTTTAGCTGCTCAAAGACAGAGCAGCACAAGCTGCTGCTGCTGCCGCTGCTGCTGTCTTCGAAAGCCTGCAGGAACTGCGCCAGCGTCAGCGTGGGGCCTGTGCACAGCAGCAGCAGCAGCAGCAGCAGCAGCAGCAGCAGGCAGCAAACGAAGCTATAAGAAAAGACGTGCAAACGGCTCCGCCAAGGCTGTTGCAGCAGCAGCAGCAGTAGCTGCTGCTGCTGCTGCAGCTGCTGCTGCTGCGAAAATGGAACGGAAATGAGCCGAAACAGCAGTGCAGCAGCAGCTACAGCAGCAAACAACGCAGCAGCAGCAGCAGCAGCAGCAACAGCAGCAGCAGCAGCAAAATTACCAGGCAGCCGAAGCTTGTCGACCACGTCTTGCTTCCAGTGTACAGACACCCTCTGAGGTGCAGCAGAGCGCAGCTGCAGCTGCTGCTGCTGCTGCTGCTGTTGCTGCTGCTGGCGCTGCTGCTGCTCTTGCTGCATATGGTGCTGCTGCTGCTGCTCTTGCTGGCGCTGCAGCTGCTGCTCTTGCTCGTCCTGCAGCCTCTGCTGCTGTCGCTGCTCCTGCGACGCCTGCTGAAGCAGCTGCTGTTGTTGTTGTTGCTGTTGCTGCAGTTGCTGCTGCAGTTGCTGCTGCTGCTGCTGCTGCTGCTGAGAGATAAGGCTGTCTTCTTCCTTCTCCTCAGGTGTGGTTTCTCTTGTGGCTTGTTCTTGCTGTTGGGGTTTTTGGGGTGTATCCATCGCTTCCGCGTCAGCCTGCTGCTGCTGCTGCTGCAGCTGCTGCAGCTGCTGCTGCTGCTGCTGGAGTTGCTGCATTTGCTGCTGCTGCTGCAGCAGCTGCTGCTGCTGGTCGCGTTCTTGGGAGCTCATCTTGCTGGCTTTGGCGTGGGGGGAGGGAGTGTCGAGTTTGCTGCTGCTGGTTTGCTGCTGCGGGACTTTGCGGGTTCTTTTGGGGGCCATTAAGGGGTTAAAGAGTCTAAAATGGTATTTAATTAAATTTGAAGTCAAAAAGTCAAACAAAGAAGCTGAAAAAGCCCATAGTGTGGCCTTTGTGGCTGCCCGGGAGCTGTCGATACACCCGAACGGCTGCAGCAGCAGCAGCAGCAGCAGCAGCAACAGGCCCTGAGTTGCACACCTTCGGACAGAAAAAGGTGAAATTCAGATTAAAGTGACTTTATAAAATAGAAAAAGGCAAATGTGGAGGCGCTGCCGAAAAAGAGAAGCGAATCGGCGCTGCTGCTGGGGTGTACAGACAGCTAGTGTGAATCGAGTGCTGCTCTTCGAGGCGTGGAGCTGCTGCGGCCCTGGAAAAGCCCTTTTGAAGTTTGTAGAAGAATATATTGCAAGTTTAAACAAAACTAAACCCGAAATGAGCAGAAATAATGCAATAATAACCTCCCAGCCTTCAGGTGTACGCGCAGCTCGCGACCAGCCACAAGAGGTAGCGACAGCGCCGGCCGGCTCAAAACACCCCGAGCGGCGGCGGCTGAAACCGGGGATTTTTGCTTCTTTTGGACTTTAAAACAATGCTCTAAATTCAACAAAATGCAATTTATTTAATTAGAACAAAAAAGCTTTCAAAAAGACACCAAAAAACCCCGTTTCCCTTCCTTCACCCGCGCCCGATGCGGTGTCTAGGCAGCTGCGCCGACGCGCTGTCTGTCCACCTCGAATGTTGAAGCAGTTCATTTTTCTCGCTTTTTAAATTTATATTTCATTTCAAAATATAAAATAATTTCACAAATAAAACCTCAAAGGGCGGCGGCAGCGCTCGCAACCGCGTAGATCGCCGGGTGTACGTACACCCGAGCGTTGCGACGCGGAATCGGCCGCGAGCAAACGTTTCTCTTCGCCGAATTTTCCGTTTTTAATTCCAAAAAGTGCCAAATGTGGCATTTAAAATACATTTATAATTAAACTTAATTAAATTAAACATAAAAACGCAGAAAAAATCCCAACTCACCGCATTTGCCTCACTCGACACTCTTAATGCGCAGCTGCTGCAGCTGCTGCGTTGGCTGCGGCTTCTGCCTAGCGGAAATGCCCACAGAGTTGAAAACGCAAAAAGTTTAAATAAATGTAATTAAATATATTTCAAATTAAAAATATTAAAAAGGAAAATCCAAAGGCCGAAAAGTTCTGCCTCTCGATTTGCTGGAAACAGATTCCGCCAGGTGTACAGACACCCCAAAAGCGACGCAGCACAAACGCAGCAGCAGCAGCAGCAGCAGCAGCAGCAACAGCAGCAGCAGCAACAGGTCTTGTGAGTCTCTCTGTTGTAGCTATTACATTCTTACTATCCAGTGCAGCAGCAGCAGCAGCAGCAGCAGCAGGTTATCAGCAGCACTAATAGAGACGCAAGCAGCTGAAGCAGCAGCGACCGCTCTATCAGCAGCAGCAGCGATGCTACAGCCATCAGCAGCAGCAGCAGCAATGCCGCAAGCAGCAGCAGCAGCAGCAATGCCGCAAGCAGCAGCAGCAGCATCTATGGCACAACCAGCAGCAGAAACAGCAGCAGGTAGCCCCTAAACTCGTAAATGCTGCTGCTGCTCGCGCTGCAGCAGCTGCTGCTTCCGATGCTGCTGCAAAAATGTTGCTGCTGCTAGCGCGCTGCAGATGCTACTGCTAGAGTTGCAGCAGCAGCAGCAGCAGCTGCTGCTGCTGCTGCTGCTGCTGCTGCGTCTCTGCCCCACCGCTTTTGGGGTGTCTGTACACCCCGCGGCATATCTCCCGCAGCAAATCGAGAACCAGAACTTTTCGTTTTTTAGTTTTCCTTTTTAAATCTATTTTGTCTTAAATGCATTTATTTATTTTCATTTATTCTTTTCAGATTTTTATTTCCTTTTGGAGCTGCCGCCGCTCTCGGCTGTACATACACCACAGACTGGGCGAAGAAAGCTAGCTAGCTAAAAGCGAAGAGGTGCTTTTAGCTAGCTGGGCTAGCTAGCTAGCTAGCTAGCTAGCTAGCTAGCTAGCTAGCTAGTCGGTTATAAAGCTGGCTATAAGGGTAGCTGCTTGGCTATGAAGCCTGCCAGCTAGCCGTAGGTAACTAAAGCTGGCTAGCTAGCTGAACGCAGCTAGCTGGCCGTAGCTAGCTAGCGCAGCTAGCTGGCTATTTAGCTAGCTAGCTTGCTAGCTAGCTAGCCAGCTAGCTGTGCTCAGCTAGGTAGATTCATAGCTTGTTAGCCACACAGCCATGCATACCTTGATGGACAAATGGCTAGCTAGCTAGCTAGCCGGCTCCCTACACTATTGCTAGCTAGCTAACTAGTTAGCTAGCTAGTTATAGGTAGCTAGATTGACAGCTAGCTAGCTAGCTAGCTAGCTATCTAGCTAGCTAGCTAGCTATCTAGCTAGCTAGCTAGATAGCTCAGAATGCGTCGGGTTAAATAAGCAGCAGTTTGAAGCTTGCAGAATGAGGTGTACATACACTCCAGGGAAAGAAGGCTCCCGCCAAGGGTTTAGGGTTTAGAGTTTAGGGCTTAGGGTTTAGGGTTTAGGGTTTAGGGTTTAGGGTTTAGGTTCAGGGCTTAGCAAGGCGCCTGACAAGCGGCAGTGACCAAATCGGATTACCAACGAAGCTGTTGAAAGAAATTACCGAACCCTGAACCCTAAACCTTAAACCCTAAACCCTAAACCCTAAACCCTAAACCCTAAACCCTAAACCCTAAGCCCTAAACCCTAAATCCTACACCTCAAACTCTAAACATTGAACCCCAAACCCTAAACCCTAAACCCTAAATCCTGAAAGGCCGCGAACAAACTAATTGGCTAATTAAAACTCAAACAGGCTTTGAGAAGATTCAGGCAAGAAGCAGATATATAAAGAAGCAAACAAAAGGCGTAAACCCTAAACCTTAAACACTAAATCCTAAACCCTAAACCCTAAACCCTAAACCCTAAACCTTAACACTAACCCTAGAGCCCGAGAGCCTTAACCTAGAATTGAAGGTCTCAAACAGCAAGCCATGAAACTACAGCCCAAAATCCTAAACCCTAAACCCTAAACCCTAAACCCTAAACCTTAAACCCTAAACCCTAGAGCACAACCCTGTACTGTTAGGGTTTAGGGTTTACTTATTATTTACTATAGTTGCCACGTCAAATGCAAGCATTTATCGTTTAGAGTCTAGGGTTTAGGGTTTAGGGTTTAGGGTTTAGGGTTTAGGATTTAGGGTTTAGGGTTTAGGGTTTATACTTTAGGGACAGTACTGCTTGGGAGGCCCCTAGGG